TCATATATATATATATATATATATATACATATATATACACACACACACACACACATATACATACATATATATTTATTTCAAAGTAGAAAATAATTGAGGAACATTTTCTGGGGGGTTAAAAAAAAAAAGAGACAAATCTCCCCACAACAGCTATATAAGCTTGGTTTAATTGTTGAACTACTACAATTTTGCCAATACAGTCACCTGTGCCTAAATGTGAATACTAGCATCAATATGAAAAACATCTGAAAATCGCTGGTATTCATTGTGCAGTTTGCAACATATGCAGCAAAGGAAATGCTATTTTTGATCAAAGCTGGAAAAGCTGAGGTTATATTATGTGCCCTTTATAGGATTAGTATTTTCTACTGATACCAAAGTGGGGGTGGAAGAAGAGAGACTCAATTTCAGAGAGAAAACAGCTACCATTTTCATAAAGTAGCCATGTTTTTCAATTTGAGACTGAGAATGGTCTCATGAAGGTTAACATATGATAGCTGAAGGTGCTTATTGGAAGGAAGTAGATGAAAGAGTAATTTGAAAAAATAGCATGAGATTTTTGGACAGGTTTTATATCTAAAAAAAATGATGACAAAATACAATGGATCCCTGATAACCCATCTCAGTGTCTGAAGCCCTCAGTGAAAAGTATATAATTTATCACATCTACCCAAACCATTCTTGCTTTAGAATAACCCATTTCTTCTAAGTTTCTAGTGAAATGAGAATGAAGCATCTATCTCATTTTAATGGTCCCTATATGAAACACCCCTGCAATCTTACTTCAATGACCCACAATGCTTTGTCTTCCTGCGAATTATCCAGAGTGTGCTAAATTAACAGGTAAATCTGCTAGTGCAAAGAGCAATGCATAAAAAGCTCCATCTCCTTCCATATTTTAAAGTGGGCACCAAAATGGTTTTATCATAAATCTAAATAGTTGCATATGTAATAATGGCACAGTGTCTGCTATAGCATTTTTTTTTAAGATTTGTTCATTTATTTATTTATTTAAGAAAGAGAGCTGGGCAAGGGGGAGAGAGGAAACAATCTACAAGCAGACTTCCCACTGGACATGGAGCCCCAAATGGGACTGGATTCCAGGACCCCAAGGTCATGACCTGAGCCAAAACCAAGAGTCAGCCACTGAGCCACCAGGGCACCCCTGATTTAGCATTTAATTTTTTATTTTTATTTTTATTTTAAGATTTTATTTATTCATGAGAGACACAGAGAGAAGTAGAGACACAGGCAGAGGGAGAAGCAGGCTCCATGCAGGGAGCCCGATGTGGGACTTGATCCCAGATCCTGGGATCACACCCTGAGCCAAAGGCAGACGCTCAACCACTGAGCTACCCAAGGCGTCCCTGATTTAGCATTTTAATATAAAACTGTTACACTTGTTTTACATGTATCTAACAGAATCTAAATAACGGTTTGAAATCCACATTATTCATTTTTTATTAATGAAATCTTTAATTCTTCATATTGTTCCTTTTTACTCTTTGAACTTGAGCCGTAAATCTATTTACCCCATAGAATTTTATTCTAATGTAACATATTTCTTTGCCTGGAAGATACTTATTGATTATCCATCATACTTCTCTGAAGTAAAAATACACATATAATTGGCAACTTAAAAAGGATGTCCTTTGATCAAAAGATTCTAGGTGCTTAAAAAAATTCTGTATTATATGTTCATTGCAATTATTACACAATCAAAGCAACATAAATGTGTTAATTTTGTAATATAATTATTTAAAAATTTAGAAAGAAAATGTGACTCTTAATGACAGGAAAGTGGCTGTTTCTTTTCAATTACATTTCATTGAATGGGAATTATTTACCATTAGAATAAACAGAAATGGATAGAAATTAACAACAAAGGAAGGTATTGACCACATTTTTGTGATCATTTAAATATTCATTTAAATCTAATGAGTACATGGAAGAAGTAAATAAACAAGGGGAGAAGAGGCTGAAGCATAGCAGCAAGCAAAACACAGGAAAGTAATAAAATGGATATGATTTAGACTATCAAATAATCTTTTCTGCAAAAATTGATGAAAGTTACTTTTGAATAAATGTTGGAGAAAATATGAAGCCCTAACTTTACTCTCCTGCATGTTCCTTCTACATCAAGATAGAACACTAATCTGCTGGAAGTAAACAGCACTTTTTACCTCCTCCTCCCTAAGATCTGCAACTAAGAGCCTTACCAGGCTCTTCTCATTTCAGAGGGTGAAATACAGACAGACCGGGCTTCATAAAAGAATATTTCTCAACTTCATTTTTTTCTAACAAATCCTGAATATTCTACATCTACTCTGTGTAAATGGAAAACCCCCAGGGCGCCACTGTGAGTTTGCCACCTAAATAAAACAAGGTGCCTCTGCCTGCCATGGATCTATCTTGCACATGCTCTTTGCTTTGTTCTTATTACATGTTCCTTAAGGCACAACATATTCTTTAATAACAGTTGGATAATGGGAAAGGTGGGGTTGTTAACAAAAAATTGGTATAGCTCTTGTTGCCCACCTATGCAACATATCCGAATTTTTAAAAATGCAAAATTGGTCAAAATATCCCATTTCCATTGTCTTCCTTTCCCCTAAATGGACTATGTGAAAGGCAAACAGTTCTTCTGGGGTTGTTTAAAAGAGCCTAACATTTTGTTCAATCCAAATATCCTGAACTATGGACTTGTCCTGCAACCTTGAGATGCAGTTCCATAGGAAGACAAAGACAGGGAGAGTGAGCCTTCCTTCTGTGAACTAGGAAAAAGAATAGAAGGAGGGTGGGAAAAGAGAACCATAGGTGCCTACACAGAGACATTGTTCTTAGCTCAATCTCAGAAAACACATATTTGGAAACTGAACATCTAGAAAACAAATCCTTTTTCATTATCCATGCCCATGTTCCCCACTTTGAAGACCATTGTTGTGGATCACTCACTTCACTACTTTTTATAGGGAAGAACAACCTGGAGCCTTCTGAAACCTCATTCCTTTCATCCTGGGACATACAAAACATTATGTCATTTCATTTTTATGAGAATCCTTTGAGGTGGGTTTTATTACAACCATTTTACAATGAGAAAAGCAAGATCAAACTGGTTAGGTCGCTTGTCCAAAGTCAAACACAGAAGTTAAACAGAAATATCTAAATTCAAGGCACCTGCTGTTAGAGCCCATTACTCACATGTGTTCTCATTTCTAAACTTGCTTTTTGTTTTTTTCTTTCTTAGGCCCCTCCTACAAAACCAAGTCCTCTAACACCTCATTATAATAATATATAATGTCCACTAGGATTTATTAGATTGCGTGGGTCAGGAAATATACTGTTTTATCAGTAGAGCCTTTTAATGCTTACAACACCACAAATGAGGTATGATCATGCCCATTTTACAGATATTGGTGGCTTGCCTGAGATCACATTACTGACACTAATTGGTAGTCAGCTGGATTCAAACCTGGGTCTATTGATGTCAATATGCTCTTAACTATTATGATAAATTACTTCCACAACAGCAGACACTCTTACAGTATAGGCCTAATAATCAAAAAGGAGGTCACAAATTCTAGTGTCTACAAAGAGCAGATGGATAAGGGACCTGAGCATAGCAACTGTGTCTTTATGTGGTATGGGGACCAGAGTGCTAAGAAACAAAGAGGCTGTGCCCTTCCTAAACAGTAGCACAGGCCAGTGCCTGCTTCTCTGTGGGGCAGCATTGCCATGGCTAGTCAAGAGGGACCAGATTTATATGGAATTTATTTCTGACTAGTCAAGAGGGACCAGATTAATATGGAATCTTACAATTGTTACATGCTAGCAAGCAATTAAATATATTCTGTGTATGTATCTGTATCTATTTTCAACTTATTTTTTAAATCTATGCACACATACCACATTCTGGACAGGCTGGATGTCGTTCATGGACCATTCATATAACCTCTGACTTAAAAAAAATTATGGTTTATTTATTTAAGTAATCTCTACATCTGACATAGGGCTTGAACTGACAACCCTGAGATTAAGAGTCATGTGCTCTTCTAAAAGCCAGCGAGACGCTCCTAACTTCTGACTTTCAAGGTGAGTGATGGGCTAATGCCCCATGTTGAGAAGCCAGCCCATTACTCTATTTAAATTGACTGCCAGCCAATTCTCTTATTTCAATTCAGTTAAAGCATGACATTGCTGACTTGGGGACCTCTTGGACTTTTTAAGCAGTCACTAATTCTCTGTCCTACTTAGACCTACAGCATCTGTTATAATAATCCTCATACAGAAATGGAAGCTAATAGATTCAAACCAGAAAGATCTGAGCACTGCAGGGAGACAGGGAGGTTTGCAAGCTGGTGCTTCTGGTCCTGGGAGAAGCCACACCTCAGGTGTGACCTCACCTCGGCCTCCCCTCACCTCAGAGCTTGTTCTCTGCCCCCAGCACCATGCTTACTCCTGCACCCCACACCTAGCACATGCAGGAGTTGGTATACAGCTTTTTGGGGGGCTGTAATGAGAGGCTCTCCTCTTTCTCCCCTCCTCCCAGCTCCATCTTCTCCCATCCCTGACTCTAAAAGTTAGCCAGGTAAATTTTCTGTTGACTGCTCAGAGCTCCAAAAGCTACTGATTTAAAGATCCCTGTTTAAACATTCATGCTTGTTAAATACGAACAATACTGGTGGGCAGGGCTGTTGCCATAAGACAGCAAATTTATCATGCTAAAGCTATTATTTGCATTCCTCTGTAACTATAGCTTTTTTTAGTCTAGTAATTTCACTAACGGGCTTCCTTTTACAAATTTAATGATAGACTTCCTAGGTGTAAATACAATGTAGATCAGAATATTAAATCACATTGTAATTAATTCTATTCTTTTAATCCAAATGCATTAGAAATTCAATCAAATGTTTTCACCCTTTGTGCTATTGTGGCCAATAAGGCAAATATTCTAAACACATCAACCTGAAGTAGAATCTTATTTTCAAGCAATCAATTACTTATATTCGCTGGTATAGGTGGTGAGCTCACTGTCATTGTGCATCCACTTAAACTCCAAAGGCCAACTCCCTTCTGCAAGGCAAGTAAGAACAAGGCGGTTGCCTTCCAGGTGAATCTGGGGTAAGCCTGGCTCCGTTTTAAAATATGGCACAACATCATCTGAAATATTAAAAAAAGAAAGAAAGAAAGAAAAGTGAATGAAGTGCACATGAAAACACCATTCATCCAATTAGTCAATCACTCATTTAAACAGATCTAATTTTAAAAAGCATAAATGATGGCTACTTAACCCAATTAAGTAGCCATAATCCTTGACCCCTTAGGAGCATGTAATACCCTAGATGTTATTTCAGAAAGCCAAGAGCTCAATAGTCAGCACCATTTGAAAACATTTGACAAGTTTATCCAAGTTATTTCTATTTATGATTAATACCTGTTTAATAAAGGGGCATACTGGGCAATTTCTGGTTATGCAAGCCCTGGTTTTAACTAGGCATTATATTTTCAAAGTAATAGCCAACAGTCTATATGTAGGCTCTAAAGGAAATTTCTTCATATAATCTTCATCTGGTTAAAAAAAAGTAATTAGGATAAGCAAGACTAACATGCATACATAAATGACAGGAATCACCAGCTAGCTTCCATCTCACTCTCTCTCACACACACATATCCTGTCTCTTTAGGGCTTTCTGGTGGGCTATAAAACTGGAAACCTATGTGTATTTAAACAACAAAATCCTACACAGCAATGGGAATGTAACAACTATTGCCACACACGTCCTCAAAGATAAATATCAGACATATGTGGAATGAAAGAAGCCAGACAGAAAGACGTTTATAGCATATGCTTCCATCCAAAAGTTCATCAAAGTTAAAATCCAGGCAAAACCTATCTGTGGTGTTAGAAGTCAGGATAAATGTTACCTCTGGGGGATAGGAACAGTGTAAGGGTGTAACAAGGTGGCTTATGGTGAGCAGGCTAAGACCTATTTTTTGATGTGATTATATGGGGCACTTAGTAAAAATTCACAGAAATTATTCTATGTAAGATTTGTGCAATTTCTGTACATACACTTCCTGTTATGTTATGTTACAATTTCTGTACATAACTTACAATAGTTAAAAATATATAAACATGAACCTGGGGCACTTAGCTTGTAGTTTGGGCACCATTACTAATTTTCTACATGACTCTGCACTATAATAAACAGAGTTACGACTTCCCACTTTTCAAATACGATCCCCTGGCACAACTGCCTCATCTACTCCTCTCTCAGGCCCCTGAACCCTCTCTACTCCTACATAAACACTCTGGTCACACTCTAAGTTTGATGATTTCAAAGGGCTGAGCCCTTTCCTACATGGAGCCTTCCTGTGTGCTCCTTCCCAGCCCCCATGCACCCTCAGTTCTGTGTGAGCTGACTCGTTCTCATCCTTTCATCTGACAAAAATCTCTCCCCACCAACATGCCCCAACAAACCATGACATTTTTTTTTTAAACCATGACATTTGTTTCAGTCATGGCACTTATAAGATCTCGAAATTATAGTGATTGTGGATTACATCAATGCACTCTATGCCTTATTCTTGACCACTTCTGAATCCTAGCACCTAGAACAATGCCATAGGCAAAGTAGACACTGAATTAATATTTGCTGAATAAACAGAATAACAGCATAGATAACAGCAGTTGCTAGTATTCACTGAGTATTTACTATGCGCTAGAAACTAAGTGCTTTGTATGCACTACCTTATTTAATTTTCACAAACACCCTATGAGACAGATGCCATTATTATATTCCTTTTACAGATGTGTACAGGGAGACCCCACAGAACTAAGTAACTTGCTCAAGGCCACCCAGATAGTGAGTGGTGAAATCATCATTTAAAACTCAGATAATCTAAAAAACATTTAAGAATTTCAAAATAAAACTCAGATATCTGCTCCAGAATCCCTCATTTCTATATATTACGATTCTAAACGTCATGAGTTTATCATTAAGGAAATCTTCTCAAGAACCCATATCTTAACTTCAAATTTTGGATAAATTTGTGGAATTCCTAAACTGGCTCTTAAATTACTGTATTTTTAACAAATTAAGCATCAAAGAGCATATTAACAGTGCTAAAATTGAGACTGTATTTTTACATTACACTGTAGTGCATATAGCTGGTTTCCTTTGTACTTAATATATAGAATTTATTTTTTTCTTAAGATTTGAGAGAGAGCACATGTGCATGTGCTTTGGGAGAAGGCACAGAGGGAGACTCCATGCTGAATATGGACCCCAATGCTGAGCTCGATCATATGACCCCGAGATCATGATCCAAACTGAAATCAAGAGTCAGATGCTCAACCTACTGAGCAATGCAGATGCCACAATATATAGAATTTAAATCGTTGACCCTTGAACACAGAGGTTAATGGCACAAATCCCTCACACAGTCAAAATCCAAATAGAACTTTTGACTCCCCCGATACTTAACTACTAATAGCTTACTACTGACTGGAAACCTTACCAATAATTATAAAGTCAATTAACACATTTTGTATGTTATATGTATTATATACTGTAGTCTTACAATTATATACTGTAGTCTTACAAAATAAGCTAGAGAAAAGAGATGTTAAGACAATCATATGGAAGAGAAAATACACTTATTTGTGATACAAAAACCCACATATAAGTGGATCTACCTAGTTCAAACCCATGTTGTTCAAGGGCCAACTGTATAGAGTTTATTTTGCTATTGTTCTCATCACTGCATTTTATTACTATTATACTGATAATATTACCAATCTCTTACTAGTATTCATTCAAATAATTAAATGTTAAATTTCATTTGGGATAAGAGCCTATATAAAAATATTTATCCTACTAAGATGTCATGCAGAAGCTAAAACATCAGTAGGGGCCAAAAACTCAAGTATACCATGTGCAAAGGCCCTGTGGTGGTAGTGAACATGGTAAGTAACCCGAGAAGTACAAAAGACTGAAAAGCAATTCAAGGCACAGAGAAGACAGAGTGAATGGAGGCAGAGTGAACAAGGTCTAGGCCTTACATGGGGTTGTAGGCAAGGCAAACAAACATCCTTGTTTCCATGTCATTCCTGTGTGATTTTCAATGACACCACTCCACATTCAAAAGCGGCCTGTACGAATGATAAATTATACAGCCACCCTACTCATTGGCCTTGGTCAGAGTAGTGCCAGTGTTATGATGATAATGGTGATGAGCTATTATCATAGAAGGACAGCAGACAGCCTGTGAAGGGACTAGGCTGTCAAAAGCTCATCTGGCTGCACTACGGAAAAGGAATTAAGAGGAGCCAGAGCAGTAATCAGACCAGTTAGGGCTACTGTGGTGATCCAGGCAAATACTCTCAAAGGTGACTGTGGTTTGGGCCAAGACAATAGCAGTGGTTGTGGTGGTGGATAAAGATGGAGAGAAATGGGTGGCTAAAGATGGAGAGAAATGGGTGGCTTTCAAATAATATTTAGGTGGCAAAAAAAAAAATGAGTGATGGACTGAATATGGGACTGAGGGAGAGAGATGTCAGGAATGATTCTTAGCTTTCTGACTTGCAGGATCTTCTGTTCAATACACACACACTGATTCTGTTATTAGTGCTGGGAATAAGTCACAGTTGGTGTCCTGTAAGAGGTCTACTGTCTAGTTCTGATGCAGGTACAGAGATGGCGAAGTGTCAGGGACTGTGACTGAAAGACCAGGAGGGCAGTGGATCCTCCCAGCAAGCCAGGGTGCTGCTGCACACCACCTGCTCTGACGGTGCTGCGAGAGAGCATCAGTAGGCTGACTGCCAGCAGTGACAGAGTGTCCAATGTCCCTCTTTGCTACATGCATCAGTTGAAACTGGCCACTCTCATGGCCTCATAAGGCTGAACTGTGAGGACTGTAGCTTTGACCCCTGGGGTTGACTGAGCTGTATTCATGCCCAGCCGTTTGCACTATCCTTAACAATGGAGAGAGAATGGTCGCTTCATATGGCTCTAACATCCTACAATAAGGCATAAAAAATACATCTTTTGAAATAAAAAAGCTTCAAAATAGACATTCAAAAATGTGAATCTGGTTATATACTTGACAGAGCATCATCAATTTAATGTATTATACAACTGTTTTAACTGTAAATGATACTATAATTCAGTTTTTCCTAGAATTCATACTTTACTAAACATGCCTATCTATACTCTACAAATTATGCTGCATACTCTGATCTAGCAGGAAAAGAAATCTTCATAAAGAGTAGTTGGCAAGGAAATATCTTGTGATCCAAATGATCACAAAAGTGTGGTTAGCACAGACACTACCATTTATGATAGAGGGAAGGGAGGCAAATATGTGTCAGTGTTCTAGGATCTTAAGTGTGTAAGCTACAATCATTATACGAGTACTGTAATAAAGATTAGCCAGTGTGCAGAACAACAGGGTTATCTCTCTGAGCCTAGCACTATTTACCACTGAAATACATACAGGTGATGAAATTAAGAGAGCATAAAGGTTACAGAGCACAAAAGCTTTGGTGACATAAAAAGACATAGAAGGGTTGTTATTTAGGTCTACACAGACCCATACAAAAGTATGTGATCTTTATATACCTTAAATGAAACAGAGAACAGTCTGCAAAGATCCATAAAAACAAAAATGATGGAGTTACCTCTGGAATAAGATCATTGAACTCTGACCTGGGGAAGAGTTAATGGTCTACCTGGTGCTCACTGAAGTAGGGGTGTGTGTGTGTGCGTGTGTTTGTCTGTTTTCCTAAGTAGTGACTAATAGTTTTACCTTTCCTTGGGAAAAATGAGTAGATATTAAGTATGCTTCTGTGTCCTTACAATGAACACTGTAAGACCCTAGAATGCACTACCATGAAAAACCCTGATATTTCCATTTTCACATATTTTTAAATAGAAAATAAATCATTTATGAACAAGAGAGTCTCATCAGTCTGGATAACACAGATTTAAGAGCCATTCAAAGGAGATGAATGGATGTAATGTTCTCTCAAGATAACATCACCATTTTATGATGTAGAAGTCACTTCCCTAAATGTACTGTTAAGGTTCTGACATAATGTAAATGGATTTAACTTTACCTGTTGAATGTGGAGATAATCTTCTGCTCATCTACAAAGG